ATGATTGAACCTTTAGAAAAATAATAGAAATCCAATATTTCTGGTAAGGTGAAATATTCAGGTTTTAAGTCTTAAGGTTCTTCAAGTTACTTAAATATGTTTGCTGCTGTGTCATATAATTTCCCACACATGTTACCGCTCACTGTTACTATCAGCACACATCCATAAGCAAACGAACAAAAAAAGCAGGCAAGTAGAAAAAATGGAATATCCAATCATCATCATGGCTCTGATCTCAACCTAGGTGAAACTAACACTTCTTGCAGGAGGTGGAAAACAGAGGGGAGCCAGAGTACAAGAAGAAACAGGAAGGAGGGAAGAACAGAGAGAGCTGTGGGGGCTGTGCTGAGGAAAGCTGAGCTGGAGACCACATTCGGTTGCTGCAGAAGTCTTTGTCCTCTGTGAGACACTGGGAAGTGCTACGTGGTTGTCATCTGTTGTCATGGAGTCACCGGGGAAGACTTCTTTTCTAAAGAGAATCACCCTTGAGGGAGAACAATTGCCCTTCTTCAAGGGACTTTTTTCTCCTACCAACTTTCTTTTTTTTTTTTTTGAAACAGTCTTGCTTTGTCGCCCAGGCTGGTGCAATCTTGGCTTACTGCAACCTCTGCTTCCCGGGCTGAAGCGATTCCTGTGCCTCAGCCTCCCAAATAGGTAGGATTATAGGCACCCACCACCACACCTGGCTAATTTTTGTATTTTTAGTAGAGATGGGGTTTCACCATATTGGCCAAGGCTGGTCTTGAACTCCTGACCTCAAGTGACCCACCTGCCTTGGGCTCCCAAAGTGCTGGGATTACAAGCGTGAGTCACTGCACCTGGCCTCTCCCGCCAGCTTTCAACGACCAGACTCCTTGCTTTCCAAAACCCCCAACATGACATGCACTGCTCTTGGTCACCTCCTGGGGAAGGAAGGGCCTGGACTGCAGCGCTTATAGGCCAAGGTCTGGTGCTGCTCTGTTGCCTGCCAGCTATGTCACTCCACCTCTCTGATTCTCCTTCCTTCCATGGTGAAAGAACCTCACTGGTGGTTCCTAATATCCCTAAAATGCAATGACATTATAATGCTTACGGGATTATGGACTTTAGGCCTTCGGGAAGGGGTTGGAAAAATACTTTTTTCTTTTAGAAACAGGTATTAAAACTGCTTCCTGTTGCTGTTAACCAAAGCAGGCAATTTCTCATTAGTTACTTCACAGGGAGAACCGATGGTTTGTTCAAGTGTCAAAACCTCATTAACATGTTTACCACAGGTGAGTGAGATCTTTTTTTAATGTTCTTTTCAATATGAAAACTTACTTTAATAAAGTAATACATAAAACTTTTAAAATAAGGAGATGCTATGGTAACCACTTTGGTCTGAATAACATCTGTTTTTTTGGGAAAGAATAAAAATCAGGAGAAATATGCAGAAATGTAGTCATTTTTCTTCTCCATCCGAGAGAGAAATCCATTTTGAGCCAAGTATTTGAGGATGGCCTAGTTTGAAGTGTAGTCAAACAAGTTTATAACAGGAGAACAAGATTCAGAGGGAGGAAAATCCCTAAAGGACTGTATGTGCAAAGGAAGGTCTCTTGTCCTTTGAAAAGAACAACTTAAACAGAGTTATTCTGACAATGTAAAGGTGTCGATTCCTGATAGATGTGTGTCAATTTTTTTCCTATTTGAAACAAAGCCATACACAGTTTCTTGGAGAATTAGAAAAAAATTATTTTTCTCTGACTTGAGAGCATGTTTGTGTCTCAAAATACATTTAGACTTGATCCAATCTGTCCCTCTTCCCCAGTTCATCTCTAATAGATGCAAAATGCTCCCTACTGGTAATTACCTCCAGCTTGCTGAGATAGCAACAGGCTGACCTGATGGTCTAATTTCACCTTTACCCTCATAGTACAAGAGGTCAGGGAAGTCAAGGCTGGTCTGAGTGCTGTACAATCGTCAGCAAGGATTAAACGGAATGACTCAGTCTTCCTTCGCACCTTACTCATTGCCATTACCCTGGCAGCTGAATCTTCAAAAAACAGTGCCTTGGAGAGGAAATATGGGAGAAAAGAGAGAAGAGAAGAGAAGGAGGAGGGGAGGGGAGGGAAGGGGACAGGCTAGGAGAGGAGAGGAGATGAGAGGACAATAGCCCCACGTTTTATATCACTTCATCTCATACACTGCACAGTGTCACAGATAATGTTCCTTTTTCCCTCCCTTGACATTACTATTTTCTATTACAAAGGTTGATTCAGTTAAATAATTTAAGGGATTTCTTTATTTTTATTTTTTAAAAACCTTTCAAACAAGGGTTTAGGATATAATGCAAGAAGATTACAACAGTGCCCAGAAACAAGAATGCCATGTATATGACAGGAACTCTTAGCCTTCTGTATGATAGATGAATGGACAAAAGAGTGAATGAACAAGTGGTACTGCGCTAAGCAAAACACATGAATGTTGGGCTAATGTAACTGTGTTTTAGACTCTCAGATTTATACCGTTTGTCTTAAAAAAAAAAAAAAAAACTCCTAAAAACCTAGGATATGGTTTATAACATGAACACCGTATCTGTATAGCCTTGAGAAAAAGGCTATCTGAAGTTACACAGATGGGCTTTATAAACACACAGTGGTATCAATAGTTGCTGACTTCGATTTCTTTTCTAATTAATTTCACAGACTTGCAGAGGGGAGGTACCTTCCTGGGCACTTTATCACCTCTTCAGTCTCTTCATTTCACAGATGAGTAAAGAGAGGACCAGAAAGGTTCTGTGATTAGTCTAAACATACACAGTTAAGAAATGACAGAGCTAGGATCAGAACCTGGGTCTTTTAGCTTCTAATCCAGTACTCTTCTTACTGTACTATACCACAATTTAAAAAAAAAAAAATTCCCCCAGTTATTCTGGGCCCTGAAGCCCTGAAGTTGCTACCTCAGCTTGATAAAGAGCTAACTCTACCAGGTTTCTGATTCCAGCACAGAGATAATGTGATGGTTCAGAAGATGAGAAATCAACACCTACAAGATCAGCATCTCTCACAAGTCTGGAAGGGTGAAGTGAAAATCCTCTGGTTGCAAGAGTAGCAAACAAATGAAACAGATCCCCCAGGCAATGGGCTAAATGGCACAAATTTGCACATATGAAACATGCTGTATTTTTGAATCTATGAAATACCAAAGCAACTTCTATTAAGTAGGGCTTTAGTTCAACCATAGGTTTAGGACAACTGTAAATACTAGGGACTATCTCTCAAATTTTAGTTCTCTTAGACCAAAATGCATTGACCACAACTGGATTGAAATTAAGTCGCTTTACATTTTTTTCTTGCCCAGCTCTCCTTGTGATGTCCCTCTCCATATCAGCTTCAGCCATTTCTCGAGTCAAAACTTTCTCTGGACCAGCCTGGGCAACATAAAGAGATTCCATCTCTATAAAAAGTTTAAAAATTAGCTGAGCCTGGTGGTGCATGCCCATAGTTCCAGCTACTTGGGAGGCTGGGTTAGGAGGATCTCTTGAGCCCAGGAATTTGAGGTGTGATCACACCACTGCATTCCAGCCTGGGCAGAAGAGTGAGATCCTATCTCAAAAAAAACAAAACCAAAAACAGCCAAAAACCCATTACTTTCCCCAAACTAAAATACACTCATGGCGTAGAATAATGATGCAAGCTTTCTTTTATACTCCAGTCAGAACCTCTTCCTATAAGCAAAGCCCAAAAGATATATGGGCAATGTTTGTAGACAACGTCTTAAACTGGCCATTTGTTTACTGTGCCTAAACTCTAAATGGAAGTCACTACGTACTCCCCTGACATTTCTCACCAAGGGGAGGGAGGACAGCAAGGAGGAGGGGACCTCCCTAAACTGAAATACACCAACTTTACTCTGACGCAATTTATTCTTAAAGTGACTACAAGTGCACAAAAATCTTTCAGTTAGTCAAAGTAAAATAAATAGGCAGAAATACCAAAGTAGGTAATTTTGAAATATATGAATTCTTTCAATATATCTCTGTAATTCACATAGAATGTCTGCTTGTAAAAACATTATCTATACCATAATCAAATTTAGTCAGATTTAAAAACCTAGCAGGCACTTATTATCTGTAAGAGCTATTGAGAAGAATAAATACAAAAGGACTGAAATAAAAAATCAACAGCTGGAAGCAGCTTTGGAAAAAGAGACTGAGACAGGTTTCTAAAATATTACTGATGTTGAGGGAGGTCTATTTTCATGTGATAACTATTTTTGTTCAATATCACCAACTTTCAATTTACAGCAAAATTGATATGTTCCATTTCAGCTATCTACTTCACAAATACAAATCTATTTTAAATATCATGGTCACATTTATGTAAATATCTGGGAGAGTTCACCAAAATATCTCTGCCATTTGGAAGTCCTAACACTTTAATGAACATAATTATTTCGTACCCATTTTATTGTGCTGTATTTTTCGACAATGTGAAAACTAATGGCATAAAAATTAACTCCAGTAAGACAAATGATTAAATCAAACCTTGTTATTTAAATCTATGTTTGCCCAACCGCTTTCCCTTAAAGCCAATTCTCAATCAAATTCAAGAAAATATGGCAATATGTTTTAGAGCATGGAAAAAGTTTGAGCATGCTAACGAGCCAACTTGTAAAATATAATTACAAAAGATTACAAAAATGCTATCTTGAACATCTTACTGGTACAAATTGCATAAACTCTCTCATGCAACATATGTCATTCAGAGTAAAGAGGAAGGAACAGGATTTTAAACTTCACATCCATTTAGGAAATTGGATATCAAATACTCCCATCTTCTGTCATGATGATGCTTTAGTTAATATATTTTATTCTATTTTCTAGAGCTATCAAAATGAACCACAAAGAATAAAAGTACACAATGAAAAACTAATTATTTTAACAGAGGTTAAGCTACGAAGGGCCTTGTGTAGCAAGCATCCTATGTTATTTCATTTAAACTGTCTGCTAACAACAGCAGGAAAAAGGTTTGTATTCTTACCAATGAATTTCTGAGGCATTGAGCTTTTTCGTTTTGCCACATTGCTTGCTAATCTGTCCAGAACGAGAGCTCTTTCACTTCCCATCTCTGCTTTGATGTGTCTTGCCTCCGCACTTGCTGGTTTGGAAAAATATAAAAAGAAGAGGGAAAAGAACACATTGGTACATGGGGAGAAAAGGAAATAAACTGGAAGGAGAAGTGTCCAAAGTTGGATGCACACTCTGCTGTTGTTACCTGTTATGACTGCTCAGATTCTTGCCTGGGGTACCTGCTGTGGTCAGTGAAGCCGACACCAGGGCACATTCAAATCTTGCAGTCTTATGCCGAGACGGGAAAGCTTGACCCATCCCCAACCAGTACATTCATTAGCAAGAGGAAGTATTAAATAAACAGCCTGGACGTGGTTGGTTGCAAAAAGACAGATAGATGGAGATCTTCTAACCCCTGATCAGCCTTCTTTCTGATTCTGAGTAACTGCGTGTGACACCTGCAGACTGAAATAATTCTTCTTAACAACTTTGAAAAAAAAGCATGGTGCCCCAGATTTACTGCTCTGTTTATGTTAACAGCACTTTTGAAAATAGATACACTCACACAGATACCAAGACATCTACTCAGTGATTTGTGTATTGAAATTCTGAGTGGTTTCTTTCTTTTTCTTTTTCATTTTTTTCCAGCACGCTCCTCTCAGTTCCTATCTTTCATATTCTTTCTCTGTGCTCTGCATTATCTGTTTCATATGCTCTTCACATTTCAAAATAGTCTCAGTTATAATTTCCCTGAGCAACACTTCTGCCTTGAAATTAAAGAACAATTTGTATAACACATCTCTATTGAATTTCTAATAAAAATGTGAATAAAAACTGCCTATGAATATGGGCTAACTACCCATCCACAAATAGACTTGTGAGTAGTGTAGGCCTGTGGTTCTCAGACCTGGCTGGACATTAGAATCACCTGAAGAGCATGTACGAAATACCTATGCCCAGGCCCCTCTTCAGATCAATTAAATCAGGATTTCTGGTAAGAGGCCTAGGCAAGAATATTTTCAAAGCTCCCCAGATGATTTTTAAATGCAGCCAGAATTGAGAACTACTAGAAGAGTATAAAAATAGTGCCAATATCTAATCAACTAAAATAGTAAACTGTAGTAAATATAATTTACCTCAATTTAGCAGGCAGTGCCCAACTTTATGTCTAAAGTTCAAAGAGATACCAGCTGCTCTAAATATAAGGCTTGACATTTTAACACATGATGCTAGCCTGAGCCAGGGATCAGCAAGCTTATTCTGTAAAGGGCCAGGCAGTAAATTAAAAAAAAATTGCCAGACACATGTAGTCCCTATCTTATATTCTTTGTTTTTTGTTTTGTTTTGTTTTGTTTTTCTGTCCCACAGCCTTTTAAAAATGTAAAAACCCCTGTACACAAACAGGCCACTATCTGCATTTGCTCAGAGGACCACAGTTAGCCCACACCTGCCCTGGGCAAATACATTGTGATGCTGTAAACATTTTTCTCTGTTTTCTCATAAACACTTCAGGAGATCCAAACTAAAATGAATTATCCATACATTTCTATTATGTCTATGGAAGAATAAATTGAAACTAGTTTAAGGGATTAGAGTAAAAAGCAAGTAGTGGCTGGCATGGTGGCTCACCCCTGTAATCCCAGTGCTTTGGGAGACCGAGGCAGGAGGATTACTTGAGGCCAGGAGTTGAGACAAGCCTGGGCAACATAGCTAGATGCTACGTCTACAAAAAATAATTTAAAAAAATTATCTAGGCATGTTGGCATGTGCCTGTAGTCCTAGCTACTTGGGAGACTGAGGTGGGAGGATTCCTTGAGCCCAGAGGTTTGAGGTTACAGTGAACTATTAAAGGTAACTGCAAAAACTGCAATTACTTTTGCACCAATCTAACCGTGCCACCGCACTCCAGCCTGAGTGACAGAGTGATACTCTGTCTAAAAAACCAAAAATAAGCCCCAGAGTATTAAATATTTTTAATTTTATTAGTGGCATTAAAAAACTGTATGTTACAGTATGTTACTGTATGTCATTACACAATACATTATAAAGCTCAGTTTTTATTATTTAACTAATTTATTTACTTGTTTTTGAAACAGGGTCTCAACTGTCATCCAGGGGGGAGTGCAGTGGTGTGATGATGGCTCACTGCAGGCTCAACTTCCTGGGCTCAAGTGATCCTCCCACCTCGGCTTCTCAAGTATATTATTTATATATATAATATACAGTCCAGAGCCACCATGTCTGGCTAATTAAAAAAATTATTAGTCTCAATATATTGCTTAGTCTGGTATCCAACTCCTGGCCTCAGGCAATCCTCCCACTTCAGCCTCCCAAAGTGTTGGGTTTATAGGCATGAGCCACTGCACCCAGCCAAAGTTCAGCTTTTTTTTTTTTTTTTAATCTGGAATAAAATGAAATCTGGCTCTGCCAGGTGTGGTGGCACCAGCCCATAGTCCCAGCTACTCAGGAGGCTGAGGTGAGGGGATGGCTTGAGGCCAGGAGTTCAAGTTCAGCCTGGGCAACACAGTGAGATCCCATCTCTTAAAAAGAAAAAGGAAAAGAAATCCGACTCCAAAAATGAGAAAGAGAAGAGGACGATAAATAATGTGATAATAATGACAATATTTACTGGACTTGGTGAGTTTCTTGTCAAAAATAATTCTAGGCGCTAAAGAAATAAATCATAGCCTTCAGTGAAGCTATTAACAACTATTTGTGTAAAGGAAAACAGTAAGGGTCAGAATAAGGGGACTGAGTGGCTTTTGGGCTAGTGTGAAAGTACTTGATAGACTCTGGCTGACCAACAGTTGTAAATAACGGACACTTCAACCACAAGACACTGCTATTGAGTGAAGCGGGTCAAATTCCGTCCAGTACAGGGATAGGTTTCAATGACCAAACAGGAAATTATTTATATATATTATTTCCTTTCACACAAACCACCACCAGATGTGGCACTACCCAAAGCCCCAAGAGCATAGAGATGAAAGACAAAGTTTGGAATTTGCAGTAAGTTCTTGGGGCTGTTAGAAGGAGACTTCTATCTTGGAATCATAGGAGAGGCAGCTAAGTTTGTGCTTTGACTAAAAACATTCATCCTAGTTCCAACAACTTTGAGAAGATTAAATCCAAGTAAGCCTCCCCTCAACCCTGTAGTTATTAACAAAAAGATTTATAGTGAAAAAAGAATGAAAAACAGTACTCAGGGAATGTTTATGTTTTATGCCCATTTTACCACTGTCCCTTTTAGTCTCTTGTGGTCCCTCCTCTCACTGCCAAATCATTATCCAGGAATTACCCCAAGCACGGTGCTGCCCATCTAGTTTTCCCATTTGTTTCTCAGCAGTTACTGTCTACATTTTACCAAAGTCAATGTCAGTTACAACAAGCAGCTTTCTGAGGACACGTAATCAACATCCTCTCCATTTGTGAGGATGCTGAAACGTGGACACATTGACCTAAATTACTGTAATTAGGGCAGGTCACTAAATGGCAACATTTTGAGATAACATCACCTTTTATTCCGTGTTACCCACCAAACTGGTCTTGAGAGTCATTTCCAGATAAACATTACTCTGTAAATCAGAGACCAAATACCTGGCATTTAACATAAAATTCTGCACTGTTCATGGATGGACATATTTGGAGGAATGGATGGAGACTTCTCCATTTCCACAACTCTGATTAGATTGAAAGAAATCCTCTGAAACTAATCTAGAGGACTCCTGTTCACTCACACCCTCTTTCAAGATCATTCACTCAAAATGTTAACTACAAGATCTTAACCTTTACTGTACATGTGAACACTCTAGTGATTCACTTGATCTTCACTGAGTTAACCTTGTTTTCTAGTTGGTAAGTTAGGCAAAGGCTAATTTTCAACTGAAGATAGTACTCTTATTTTCTTTCCTAAACTGCTAGTCTTTGCCTCACACTTGTTGGACAGCTGACACACAATACCATGAAATGAACACCCTTTAAAACACAAAGAGCCAGATGCCATGGCTTGTGCCTGTAATCCAGCACTTTGGGAGGCTGAGGTGGGAGGATCACTTGAGCCCAGGAAGCTATGATCTTGCCACTGCCCTCGAGCGTGAGGAATAGAGTGAGCCCTGTCTGTAAACAACAACAACACACACATCGCACATTCACAAAAAAATGCTTTGTAACTGGACAAGCTCTTTGGGATTACTGAGTGGCTTAGGCAGTGCACTGAAAAGAAAATAAAAAAAAGAGGACTATTGGTTTTTGGTCCTTTTCTCCAACTTTAGGACCCAACTGTCTATTTATACAAACAGTCTAGACTTGTTATCTTGCCACATCACGTCTCAGAAATGTAAGTGGAGAGAAACCAGTTTGGCAAGATAGTAAGGGAACAAGATAATGGGTTTAAATGATGAAATAGGAAATCCGTTCCTGGGTGGTGTTTGGCGGTTTAATGCTGCAAGCGGTGGGTGTGGGGAATATGTACTGGTGGCAAGGAACAATCTGCACATTCGGTTCATGAGTGAGAGTAGAATGAGTAGGACAGTCATTGTGGATCGATTTCCCTTCATATTGCTTGCTTGCTAAATAGTAGATATACTAATTTTCATTAAAAAAAGTTATTTTAATGATGTGCTGAAAAAATAAATAATAAAATGTAGAACAATTACAGAATAGGTTACTACCTTTATTCCCTGTGTAAGCCTTAATATTTGGTTTTAGTTAACCGTTTCCATGATACCATTTCTATCTCAAAGTCACTGAAGGTTTAACTATGTAATTGTGCTGTGCTTTTGTTTTTGTTCAAAATCCTTCATTAGATCTTGAAGTGTTAAGTGGAGCTTAAATAAGAGCTATTGCTTCCTGTCTCTTCTATGGTGTGGTCAGTCAGTAGCTAATGGAGAGTGGAACAAAGTGGTGCTATTATGCAATAGGAATTGTCTAACAAGAGATTGCTATCAAAGATAGAGGCAGGTTCTAACAAAAAAGTTACATAACTGTTGCCTTTTTGAACCAGTAAAATGAATATACTACCTGTGAGATAATATTAATTTCTAAAAAGAATAGGTTAGAGCAGTAGCTCACACCTGTAATCCCAGCACT